ATGGAGAGGGAGTGGACTAAGGACTTGAATTGGAGATTCATTGTGTAAAATCAATATGACTTCATCGATTAACTAAGTATAGATTTCGAAAGATAACCATTGATTTCTTCCTAATTTCATAGCTTGACTATCATTAGTTGGAAACCCGAGAGCGAACTAATGCGGTACTAAGTTGAAACTCAAATTGTATTTTCCCTAAACCTATGCATGCATACATTGATTGACGACATATCTTCTAATTTATGTTTATATAAGTAAATATTTTATTTTAAGTCACTAAATAAATACTCTGCAAGGTTTCCCTTAAGTAGAATTTGTTACTGAAAAATACAGATATATTCCTATAAAAGAGATCTGAAAGTAAAACACAGAACCAGATCAATTGAAAAATCGTTATTTTATTTTTATACAGGATGTTTCAGGATTAAGTAGCCAAACTGCAAAAATGAACTAAGGATCTCAAAACAAGAAAAAATTTTCCTCTGAAGGTATGTCCGCATATGTCCAAGTCATCTCGATTCTACTTTCAAATTGTCGAAAGTAATTGATGGAAAATTTAAACATGATGTGCTATTTTCTAATGAACCAATGCCTTATAAATAAATATTTAAAACATAGCGAATTATGACAACTTAAAAAATATCGAAGATACCTTTTGTTATTTATTTATTGATATTTGAATGACTTAAGACTTCTTTCGAAAAGGACGACCGTACTTGCATAGACATTTTGTTTAATGTCACCCCAAACAATAAAAATTCGGTGTCATATGATATTTGCATTTTGTTTTTGTTTTTTTGGCTGCTATTAAACAAAAAGTCTATGCAAGTCCAGTCAATGACCTTAATTTCTTACGAAGAAGCACGGGCGGATCTACGGGGGGGGGGGGGGGGGCTTTCGGGCTGAAGCCCCCCCCCCCCAAAATGGTAAAATATATCCATGTTTTATCGAAAAAAATATTAAAAAAGTATCTCTTAAAATATTATTGTTCGTGTATTTACATTTAAAAGGGCTTTAGGAATCACTTAAACACAATTTCATACAGGTAGTTAGTTTCTTTCTTTTTTTCCAAAGTAATTATCGTTATTTTTATGAAAAAAACAACTTTCGGGCTGAAGCCCCCCCCAAAATTAAATCCTGGATCCGCTAGTGCGAAGAAGGATAATTGAATCTTGTGAAACAATAACACATATCCAGTGCCGTTCTGCCACTGCTGCTGTTGAAGAAAGATGCCGAGCCTGTCTTAATGCTCAAGGCACAGGCGGATTTACGGGGGGGGAGGGGCTTTGGGGCTGAAGCCCCCCCCCCCCAAAATGGTAAAATGTAACCATGTTTTATGGTAAAAAATATTTAAAAATTATGTCTTAAAGTATTATTGCTCGTTTAATTACATTTAATAGGACTTCAAGAATCACTTAAACACCATTTCATATAGATAGTTAGTATCATTCTGTGTTTCTAAAGTAATTATCGTTATATATATGAAAAAAAAAAGCTTCCGGGCTGAAGCCCCCCCTCCCAAAATTAAATCCTAGATCCGATAGTGGCTCAAGGAAATCACTTTGAACAACATTTAATATGAATGTTAATGTGTACATTTGATTAATAAAGTAGTTGGAACAAATAAATAAGTTTTATCTATTTCATGTAACGTAAATAATTCATAACAACGAAAATCTTAAGGTGTGAATATCTCCTAAACAAACCGTTTGCTGACATATCTTCAGAGAAAACTTTTTTTTCTTTTGATGTAGAGTTGGTTGACCGTTGATATGATATGAGAAGGAATTAGTCGAGGGTGCGGTCAAAAAATAAAAAAAATTAAAATATATAAATAATTTTAATTTTTGCCGACGTTTCGACCCACATTCGACGTTTTTTTTCTTTTTTTGAGGTCCTTATATCATTTTTGCTATTTGGCCACTTAATCCTGAAACCTCCTGTTTATAACATGTGTTTTTAGGCAATTATGTTTATTACACTACATTCTATATCACGGAAAAACAAGAATAAAAGCTCAAAAAAAATTAGTTGTAGCCATTTTTCCTGAAAAAAAAGGTATCTTTATGTGACTCGATAGAAAATCACATCATATCTTTACAAAATTTGAGGCGAATCTCAAAATGTTTCCTAATAAACCTAAACTTAATTAATATGTACTTCAAGCTTATGAAACGAAGAAGTTTTTTTAAAAGTGGGATAAATGTAGTACAGTTGAAGGATGATAAAAAAAAATCATAGATAATTTATGACACTTTTCAAACGGAACTTTACTGAGTTTGCCCGCTCAATAGATCTCTTTAAATGGTTTTAACAATGACAATCTCTACTTTCATTTGAAGTAAAATTTGTCTAGTTTACTATGGAGCAATGTTTAATTATTTAAATCAAATATTTTTTATACCACTTCCTATTCAACAAAAAACATGCTTAAAAAAATCTTAAATTTCCTACTTTTCTGCTGGAAATTGGGCAATTTTTTGTAGAAGTTGATGTCTACTATCAAAGTTTTAAATATTTACCTCTACTTACGTGATACCCTGTATATTATAGTAGTATTCTATTGCCGACGTTTCGACCTACCTCGTAGGTCTAGCACCACTTCATTTTATCTAGTCAGATAGGAACTGGTCTAACTTCTTCTGGTATTGCCAGATGATACCCTTAATAATAATAATAACCAGGGGTGCCCAGAGGGGGGTTCCATGGCACAAGTTGTGCCATAAAAAATTTTTAGGGAGGGGCGAATTCCAACGGGGTTATAAGTTTTCGGACTAAGGAACTAAGAGAAAACATGGAACAGATCACAGCAAGTGTAATTGTAGATGATCTATAATTTTTCTTATTCTACCTTCGCTTGGTCATAGGTAGAAGAGGGTTTAGGAAGAAAGAGGAATAAGAGGGTTTAGGAAGAAAGAGGAATAAGAGGGTTTTAAATGTGGATAAATATGCATGGAGGCAAGACCCAATTGAAAGTGCCCAATAGAGGATGGCCTATATAAAAAGATGTGGCAGAAAAGAGACATGCAACTAAAGGGTATGAAGTCTCTAGCACTTGGCAGGTTTCAGAAAAACCTAGGATTCATGGATCGAAGCTCCTCCATGTTGAAAGGAATAAAATGAGAAAGAGAAATGTATACAAATTCCGGTATCTTTGTTAATAAAGACCAGATTTTGATGGGTTTTTTTTCTTCATTAGATGAGAAATAAATTTTTCAACCAAAAATAAATGATATTTCCAATGAAAATGAATGGTAACTTTTAAAATTTATTTTCAGCTTCTCAAACCAAAAATATATAGAGAACAGAATTGCCACACTTTATTCTTAAGGTTTATTAAATTCTTAAAATCAGATTTGTTTATGCGATTTTGAACATAAAAATGAATATTATTGTGATCAAAAATCCTTTTGGATCTTTATAACAAAAAAATTTTTAAAAATAAAACAAATTTAAATAAACCATGGTTCAACAACCCAATCAGTTTACTCTCAAGCTGGTGATAGTAGCACTTATCACAAATTCTCCGAGATTTAATGTTCTTCAAGAAAAGGTTATTATGTCTTCAGTTAAAATAAAATTAATAAAACTAGTAAAAGTGAAAATCATTTATTTATTATGAAACATTAATATTCACTTATGTATTTATAAAAATAAAATCTAATCCATCATTTTAAACATAAAAAAGCTATAAGTAGAACCTTGAAAATTCTAACATTTTTTTAGTTAAAAATATAATATTATTACCAACAGACACATCCTTACCAGTTACTTAACCTAACTAGATACACAAAATTTACATACATGTCGAACCAGTTTTATATATATATAACAAATTAATTTTTACATTATTTACATTTATAATAATTACTTATTAATGATTAATAAAATAAATAATTTCGAAACATTGTATTTTAAACTGTATTTACAAACTGGCTAGGAGTGATTTAGAGAAATAAATGGTACAGTTATTTACAGTTCAACCTAAAATAGGACATTATAAATTGAAATATAGATAAAACTTGAACAAAAATTAACATTAATATGCAAAATTGTACTTTAATATTTCAAATAAATTTGGGAAAACATAACATGAAGTTGTACACTTCAACATCTAAAGCATTTTGTTTCAATTAGAATAATTGTTTACAATCTACTTTGAAGTATTGAGTAAAATGTTTTAAATTAGCGATTTAGATAAAATGTTTGCATCACATGAAATGTCATTTTTATGAGTGATATTAAAATACAATTTAATGAAACAACTATTCATAAAATATTATAATAGTAATTAAAGTAACCCTTTAATTTTACACCGATTATTATTATTATACAGATCATACAAATTCTCGGAGACATGAAAAATTAAATTCGATACAACAAAAACATCAAACTGAAATAGTGAACAATTACACCTTTTAAAGACCTCGAGATGCATTCTAAAAAGCAGTGTATATTAGCTTGCTATGCAATAAATTTCTTTTCTTTTGATAAGATCCAAGGAGCATATTTTTTATAAATTACTTTAATTAGATTAGATTTACTTTTTTTTTTTTTGTAATAATATTCTGAAAAGTTGGCATTCCATGAATTAAATCAGGTAATATAATAGGAATAAGTAATAATATAATATAAACTTAATAATAAAAAAAAACTGAATAAGTGATTGTTTTTTAAAATCCTCTTCTTAAGAATTAAAGGAGGGCTATTAATAGTTTTTTTTTTTTCTGGCGCCAGTCAAATAAAACTTCAACAATCATAAATTAAAAGTGATAATAATGAGGCTTCTTCCGGATATTATAATATAAATAAGAGAAGAGAGGGTCAGTCTTGCACACTTTCTTTAAGATTTTACATTTAAATAGTATGCTGAACAATTAAAAAAATTAATAACGAAATACGAATCGTGATTTAAAATATTTCAATTAGAAAAAAGTTTTATTCAGTTTTAACATTTTTTCTTCTTTGTTGAGTCCAGACGCGGAAACAGTTCTAGATGGAATTAATAGATAAAAATTAATACATTTTGATAAGGTTTTAAGAAATCTATTTTAAAATATTGACATACATAATTTATATCAAAATATCATGAAGTTAAAAAAATCTGCACAATTAGGCATAAATGAGGTAGTGAATCTTTTTGGAAGCTCCTATGTTTGTGAAAATTATTTTCCAAAATAAAAATAATTAAAAGTAATCACTGACCGTGGTTAAATAATTTATATATGATTATTTTACAATTATAAAGGTGTGGGAGCCATCTATATCTGCAAATATAGACCAATTAATTGCAAAGAAGAAATGACAAATTTCTCATTAAATAATCTTTTGCCACATCTATCTTCATTATTTTTTAATATTATTTCTAACCATGACTGGCCAAAAATCATTTATACACTAAATAAAATAATGATTTTTTTTTATTTCTGTAAAATTGTATTGAGTTATTTTGTTAAACAGCGATAATTTAAGTTTGTCATTGAGTTTTTATATTATAATAAACTTTTTATTAACGACCGGCACAAAAGTTAAAAATTTGTAGCTGGCCCATTACAAAAAAAAAAATGTTGCTCATCCCGGATATGGATAATGTTTAGAAAGAAAATATTAAGTAAAATATATAAATCTTTAGATTGAAATATTACATAACAAAATAAAAATTATGACATCTCCTCACTAAATATATCATCATATTCAGCATTAGCAAATTCTATAATCTCCTTGATTTCCTGTTTATTATTAACCGAAATCATTTTAGAGTATTCTAAGGCAGGATGATGACCAAGATTTCCTTTAGCAAGGAATTTATAATCAATATGAGATGAACCTGTTATGGTTTCCTTAGGCTTAGGCTTCCTTTTAGGAGATTCGGCCTTTTCTTCTGGTTCTGTGTAAGGAAATATCTCTGCGATCTTCTTAAGAGCTTCATTCGCCTCATCGTTGAGGGGAGATGGATTCATGATTTGCTGTACAGTTTCTGGTAGCGGGATAAAAGACATCGGAGGAAGTTTTCCCATCGCTCTTAGGTAAAGAGCATGGCACCTTGCTTGAAACGATGGATCTCTTAATAAAATGCCCTTATCTTCTTCAAGAAGATCATCTGGCAACATCGTATTATCTATTAAATCATTAATCGCTTTTTTAGCTTCAGTATTATTTGAAATAGGTAAATGGACGATTGGTATGTGCTGAACATATTCAGAGTAAGGTAGCTTCAAGAAGTACAAAGCTTTTCCTGAAACATATAAAAAAAAGAAGAAAATTAGATAAAATTAATATTGTTAAATTAAAATAGAATTTCTGGCTCGCACCACCCTAGACAAAACCATTCCAACAGGTTCCATATGTACAAGTTTCAAGACTGAACAATAGGTTATAGTAGACGGCAGCAGAATAATGAGGCGTCTAAAAAAGAACCCGAATTCTGATATTGTGTTTTTATCAGTTTTGGTCCTCGCGCGGGCTCATTACCGCGTATGGGGAGCGTCCCACGGGTGGCGGATGTGGGGATGGTCGGTGGAAATTCCTTGGAAGTTCCTCCCGGCTAAGTCCGATGGACTCGCTGACCAACAATGAGAGGGGCCCTCCAGACTTGCTGGAGGGAGGGGACCTCCAGACTTGCTGGAGGTAGGGGCCCACCAGACTTGCTGGAGGGTGTGACGTAGGATTGAACGCCCTACTCACATATCTTTAGTTCACCAAACACCACAAAAAGTCATGGATCTCCCTAAGGTAAAACGCTCATTATCCGGAGGTAAACTAGTCCCCCGTTCGGGTCTCCGGGTGGGGACTGCTTTAGGGGATTCATGGTGCAAGTTGAAATATAGGGATTTAAATATTGGTACGTGGAACGTAAGGAGTTTAAACACAGCAGGGGGGCTAAAATCGGTCGCGAATGAGGTAAATGGGTACAATTTGGATGTCGTGGCTCTGCAAGAGGTTCGCTGGCCAGGGGAGGGCTCGATGAGGGAAGGAAAGTACACTATTTGGTACGGAGGAAGCGGGAATCATTGTTTAGGTACCGGGTTTCTAATTAGGAGTAGATTACTATCCGCTTTGAGGGACGTACAATTCTTTAGTGATAGAATTTCGGTAGCTACATTTCAGGGACGTTGGTCTAAAATCGCATTAATAAACATACATTGTCCGACCGAAGACAGTGACGATGAAGTCAAAAGTGAATTTTACGATAAACTCGAATGGGTTTATGATAAACTACCGCGAAACTACATGAAAATAATTGTAGGTGACGCAAACGCAAAGGTAGGAAGGGAAGAAGTTTTTATTCCGACGATTGGTAAAGAAAGTTTGCACGAATATAGTAATGATAATGGGATCCGTCTGATAAACTTTGCCATCTCAAAAAACCTGATAATTAAAAGTACGACGTTTAAACATAAGGATATTCATAAATATACTTGGACATCACCGGATTCGCAAACACGAAATCAAATAGATCATGTCTTGATACAACACAGCTGGCAAAGCAGTATAATTAATGTACGGTCTTATCGCGGAGCAGAATGTGGGTCGGACCATGAATTAGTGATCGCGAAACTTCGACAAAAACTTAATATAAAAAAGAGAAAAGAAAACCGTTTCGATTTTGAAAATTTTAATTTGGAAAAATTAAAAAATCCGTCAATTAGAACCCAATTCGAGCTAGATGTTAAGAATAGGTTTGAAGCTTTAGAGCTTCCTGACGAGGACCACGAGGATATTGACAAGTTATGGGTAGAGATCAGGGATAATATTAAAGCGGTCGGTAACTCGTGTCTAGGAAAAAAGGAAAATAAGAATAACAAACCGTGGTTTGATGAAGATTGTTTAACCATGTGTGAAAAAAGAAAAGCCGCTAAATTAAAAGCTCTAAATAATCCTAGCGAAGACAATCTGGAATACTTCCGAATCTCAAAGAACGAAACGACAAAATTGCTCAAAAATAAAAAAAGGGAGTATCTTAAAAATAAAATAATTGAAATAGAAACTAATAGAATCGAAAATAACGTAAGAGACATGTACAAAGGTATAAACAGATCACGTAAATATGTAGGGCCCGTAACATCTGGAATTAGGGATGATAATAACAATATTCTGACCGATCCGGTTGACATATTGAATAAGTTTAAGGACCACTTTGACAATATTTTAAATACGGGAAATTATGATCCGTGTCTTCCTTCTGAGTACCAGAGTGCTGAACCGTTAATAGAAGGACCTAGTAAAGAGGAAGTTGAAGTAGCTATCGGAAAATTAAAATCATATAAAGCAGCGGGAATCGATAATATTCCTACTGAACTAATTAAGGCATGCGGAGAAGCTGGAGTTTCTAAAATACATCGGTTGGTTAAAAAGATCTGGGTGAATGAGAAATTACCTGAAGAATGGAAAGAATCTATTCTTATTCCGATTCACAAAAAGGGTCCGAGGACGGATTGTAATAACTATCGAGGAATTTCACTCCTTCCGGTATGTTATAAAATATTCACTTTAATCTTAACCAGTCGAATCACGGAATACGCCGAGGAAATTATCGGAGACTACCAATGCGGATTTAGACAGAATCGTTCGACTATTGATCAAATATTTTCTTTACGGCAAATATTAGAGAAAAAATTGGAGTACAACGGTATTGTTCACCAGCTGTATATAGATTTTAAAAAGGCTTACGATTCTATTGACCGCCAGAAACTGTATAATATTCTAATCGAGCAGGGGATTCCTAAAAAACTAGTAAATCTAGTCAGGATGTGCTTGACGGAGACACTCAATATAGTTAGAATCGGTAATAATTTGTCCGAAAAATTTGAGGTTCGTTCGGGCTTAAAACAGGGGGATTCTCTTTCGCCTGTCCTGTTCAATTTGGCATTAGAACATGCCATTAGGGAGGTAATGCGAACCGAGAAAGGGTTGGATCTGGGTGGGACAACATCCGTGCTGGGCTATGCTGATGATCTGGTACTGTTAAGCGAAGATGTTGAAACTATAAAACTAAATACGACAACGTTAATGAAAGCCGGTAAAGAACTAGGACTCGAAATAAACGTGGATAAAACAAAATATATGATTAGCTGCAAAAATGGCGATACTACTGGTGATATCGATATAGATGGTAATATGTTTGAACAGGTAGATAAATTTAGGTATCTAGGTTCAACGATAACTAAAAAAAACGAAATTGAAGAAGAGATTAAGGTTAGACTGAAGGCGGGAAATGCTTGTTATTTTTCTGTGACAAAACTACTTAGTTCGCGCCTCTTGTCCCGAAACTTAAAAATTAGAATCTATAAAACAATTATCTTGCCTACAGTCCTTTATGGATGCGAAACTTGGCCGCTTACATTAAGGGATGAGCAGCGTCTTAAGGTTTTTGAAAATAAAGTATTGCGTAGAATATTCGGACCGAAGAAGGATGAGTTAACCGGAGAGTTCAGACGGTTACACAACGCCGAATTGCGTGAGCTGTATCCGGGTAATATAATTGAGGTAATTTCATCGCGGCGAATCAAATGGGCTTGTAAAGTTGTTGGGCTTAGTAACGAGAGAATTCCTAAAAGGTTAATATTTGCTTTGCCGAATGGTAAGCGTCCGAGGGGTAGACCGAAGCGAAGGTGGGAAGATTGCATTAAAGCCGATCTGAAGGGACTGGGTTTGGACGGCGAACGGTGGAGGGAGGTGTGTAATAAGCGATTGGTGGTGTCGGCATCGAACCTTCGGGTTCGCTAAGCCTTATTATTTATTTATTTATTTATTTATCAGTTTTGGAATCAGTACTTCAGTCCCTCAAGTCTAAATGGAAACCTAGAATCCAGACCCTGGAAGGAGAAATAGAAAAACTGCAACTCAAAAGAGTAGTACTCCAATGGATACCACGGCACTGTGAACTAAATGGAAATGAAATAGCCGACCAACTGGCACAAGAAGGAGCTCCATCCCCCTTCTTTTTTTTTTTTCCTCCCCTTCCTAGCTCTTAAGCCTATACGGGGTTTTCCCGGGTCAGGGAGTGTGGGCGAGGATTTAAAAGACTCCCTCGGCACCGGGACGCGAACTAGTGACTATTTTTATATCATTTGACTGATATAACACGCATTAGCCCATTCGGCCACCCTGCCCACTACCCCCCTCAAACAAGCTGCACTCAAACTCTTCAGGAGACCATTTCTATAAATAGGAGTGCTATACGACAAAGGTGGAATGGTGCTGCCTCCCCTCCCCCCTCCTCCCATCCACATTACAATCCTGAAGACAATTATTATAGGTTGAGCAGGAAACAGCTTATTAAGTTTTATTCTTTAGACCCAGAAGAGGACACAACAGGATGAGGGCACATCTCTATAAAAAAATTTAAATTGGAGAAAACCATCTGTATAGCTGTAGAACAGGCTACCAGAATACAGAGCATATCCTTCAGACATGTCCTGATCTGAAGGACATCAGAAAGCTAATTTGGCCAAACCCCACTGACTTGGCAATGAAGCTCTACAGTGGTATGGAGGATCTCAGAAAGAGCGTCGAACTTATACTCTCAATCCCGGAACCTCACCATTTGAGGGAAGTTTGAAAAAGAAGAAGAAATTAACAAAGTATGAATGAACTAAAATTTTTAATATTTTAACTAATATAAAAATATAAAAAATAATATATGTTTAAATGCTAATTGGGTATTGGTATGGGGAAAAATATTTAATAAATTTCAGCTATAATAGAATTCAATTTAGAATTAAGAACGTAAATAAGATTTAAATTGCACTTTTTAAATGAAAATAAAGATTCATATTTCGCTAACAACTTGAAATAATAGTGAGTCTAGATGTGGTTAGGATTGGGACAAAGGCACGGCATGAGTAGACTGTATCGTAATATATATTTCTGCCAAACAATATACAGGACAACTTTGATAATCCGAACATGTCGATTGCGTAGCCTGTTCACATCATCAAAAGTTAAACTTAAAATGATGGGAAAATTGCACAAGGTAACGAAAATTTATGTATTATCAGTTAAATATAAACACATTTCAAAATAAAAAATTATTTCTGAAAATGATCTATGTACATTGAGTCTCTAATTTGGTTGCTAAAGAAAACGCACGATCTCACAAATTCTTTAAAAGTACCAGGCTTCGGTAGCCGACATTGCATCTAAATATTAAATGCCTTTATGGTGTTTCTATGAATGATCTATAATGAAAAATAAAATGATTGAAAAGAAAAATTTCCAGTAAAATAAAAATCAATATAAAAAATGTATTCTATACAAGCTTTTAAAATTATCAAGCCAATCTTTACTGGCATTAAAATCTGCTTTGTCATCCTTCTTAAAAAAATATTAAGAAAAACTTTGACTTTGCAGCTAATATATCCCCATGAATTGGACACCTAGTGATATCTTCTGCAAAAACCACGTATAAAGAGATTCCTCAACTTCTAGATGACTGCCTAGTTTTAATATTTACCGTTTAGAGAAATCACAATAACAATTTCGACACTATCATATGAAGCACTTCCAGTAATATTAACTGAGAAACAGAGCCAGTTCCAATCAGTCTCTCGTCAGTCACTTTAACTTAAAGTCACTCTTCTTTCTTGTTCAGATTACCGGGGTTTCGGATTACTACATTTTAAAGTACGTATTTTTATTTAGAGATGACAGAGTAAGAGGAAAAATGAAAAGAAATTTCTTGGATGTAGCCATGTTTATTGGGTGAATCATGACAGCTCTATCCCCACCGCTTTTCTTTAACAATTACTATTTTTGCGAATATACATCAGAAAAATTTAAGACTTTTGGGTTTTTATCGTTATAATCTAAACTTCCAAGATGAATAAAAATTGAAAATTTCTGCAAGTAGCCAACTTAAAACCACAGCATACTAAGTATGCTAAAAAGATGAATTGATAAAAAAAAATCATCCAAAAAAGAACTTAAGGAAGCATTCAGTACTTCAGTAGTGAAAAAGATTTAAATGTACTTCTATTAACCCTAAAGAATTTTTTATATCATCTACTGAATAAAACTAAGTATTATTTTGAAATTAATTTATCAGTGAACACACCAAAATAAATTAGAAGGCAATTGGCCGCAAAAAAAATATGAATCAATTTTTATGAATTTAAATATTGAATGGGTTTGTAATCCTTTGTAAATTAAAAATACTTAGGAAGTTAAAATTATATTAAAATATTCAGAATATTAGAAAAAATTATTTTATTAAAGGAAGTTAGTCGACTGTTCTACATATCATGCATGGGTGATAAATATTCCTGAATATTTATCACCCAAAAAATTTTTCTAAGAGCAAAACTTTGGGAGATGTTATAAATTTTTATTCTTGAAAACTTACAGCTACGAAATACGGCTAGATTAATGACAGTAATAAATAAAATAATATTCTCAAGATAAAGTTGTAGTAAAGCCATGTATGGTTGATAGATGTATATTTCAGGTATCAATGGATATTAGGATGAATATTTCAAGAGCCATAACGAAGAATACATCTGAATGAATAAAAACTCTTAATATGTAATGTCATGTGAAGCCTATAATAAATTGAAACTATCTTATAGTCAAAATGGATAATAAAACTATACAAATATAATTTACTATAGGCTATAAAAAATTTATAATGAGTACAAAATATCATTAATAAAGTAAATATTTTACCAAAGTCATCGGACACAGGAAGGAGGGCTCCAACAACAATTTTTCCATTTTTTGAAGCAATTCTTCGAGCTAGCCCATATTTCTTTGCCTTGAGAAGGGCATCTACAAATGCAGAAAACATTGCTACAGCTCTAGCTGATTTATCAGCTATTAATACATATTGATCTTTTCCAACAAACATCGAACGTGAAATCCTTCCACTTTTAACACTTCCTAAGTAAGTCAAACTAGGAGGACCAGTATTTCTCTTTAAAGCTTCCAAATCGGCATAGCTAAGATCAATTATTGTACCTCCGAAATTTGTGTGTTTAACGGTATCTGTTTCAAATTCAATTTTTGTTTCATCCATTTTCTGTTGCTGTTGATATCCCATTGTCTGTTGGGGTAGATATCCACTTTTCTGTTGCTGCTGATACCGTGGTTCAGATATGACATTATCATTTAGTACTTCCCATTTGAACCTAGTAGCTTCCTTATTAACTTTCATCCATCTGACAGGTAGTTGAATACGTGATCCAATATTCAAAGAAATGGAATAGAACCTTATCATTTTTCGCTTTTTTTCATAATATTTCAGATCTTTTTCGATATCTGAGAAACTAAAATGAACAGCATCTTTTAAATTTGTAATGCACTGAAACATTAGTCGGAGTGATCCAGATACTTGTGAATCTAATTCTTTGCCCTCACAGTCATCAGCTATATCATTACCAATTACAATGAAGTTTACATTTTCACTTTCTAAAGCCTTAACAATAGGATTGACAGCTTCAACATAAACAGATATTTCGGTATTCAAGTTACAAAATACAACTAACTGTTTAGTCCTATACTTTCGACCTTGGGTCTGATTCTTCATGAAATCCTGAGCAGCCACTAATCCTTGGATCCAATCACTTTTAGGAACTGAACTCATTTGTAAATTTTCAACTCTTTCATACAAATTCCAGTCAGCTAGTGAAAGGGGAAAGAACTCTTCGATGTTTCTGTAACAAGAACTAGTACCATTAGCTAAATTGTTGTTTGTATTATCAGAACCAAACAAAACAACTCCCATATCATCAAAGTCTTGAGAAAATATTTTTCGCAAAATCATTCTTTTAAGACAATTTAACGATCTTACAAAAAATGTCTCTCCATTATCAGTCTCTGCTGCCATCGTTCGACTGACATCAAACAAGACTACGGTGGCAACTTTATTTGTACCCATTATTCAAATTAAAAAAACAAACCAATAAACAACAATTAAGAATCAACAATGAATACAGAACCTACCCAACTGAACATTCGAGTTTTTCAGAAAGCCCGCTTTAAATTCCAAAGCAGCAACGAATAACAAAGAGCTAATTGAAATAAAAACATTAAGGTGTCATAGTGGTATTTTACTAATGTTTTAAACAATTAATAGGAATGTAAAATGACAAAAATAGAATTAAAGTATTAAACAATTATTTCTATTTTTATAATGTTGGAGGTGATATTCATAAAACTAATGGTAGAAAGGGCAAGCTTCTAAATTCGTGTTGAATTTAGCTCATCGATGGATTCTTATAATCACTGCTAAGTTTAGGAACTTGGCCAATTTGGTTGAAGGGAGATGTATGTTTTATTCAGCAGAGAAAAACAAATAAATGAATTTATTTTAATGTGTGCTGATATTTCGGCCTAAGTTGAAACATGTTTGAACCATTGGCGGGGTGACCGAGCGTATCCACAGCACCATCGTTGTCCGACAACTAGGAAAACAGATACAATTCTAATAGAATAATTACAAATTCGCATCCCGGTGTCCGAGAGACTATTAAAACTGACATTAATCCCTCGCCACTTCTTTAGGTCCGAGAAAACCTCCGTATAGGCAAAAAGGCGAGGAAGAAGTGGACAAAAAAAATTCGCACCTTAAGGTGGAGAACGTATAAGGAAGAGTTATTTCTCACTCAAAGAATTGCGGATATGAAATCAGCTGTAAAAATATTAGGGATACAATAATGAATCAGCTACTTTCAATCAAACTTACTGAAACAAACAAACAGATATTATCAGAAAATTCAAGAAACTATGTATGACTCTTTCGAGGTACCACGTAGGAAAAAGTAATTTACAATCGGAAGTAGTACATATCGTTTGTTTCAAGATTTCCACTTACTTCATTACTTCTTTGAAGATTCCAGATTACTTCCACCAACGACATCCACTTATGGAACTTCATATTCGTGGTGATGTTATCAAGTGGAACCATTTTTACATATCTCTCTTTATCGATGATTATGTTTGCTTTGACACCTATCTCCTGGGCTTATCTTACGTTAGTTATTCCACATAAGATAACTAACCAGGCCATTGACCTGTTAAGCCCAAAAGATAGTAATGTGTAAAACAAAACAAACACTATTGTATTGTAACACTATTCTATAAACACAATAAAGTAACGAAATATTGTTAGTAATTTTATTCTATATTCAGTCGTGGTTGTAAAAATAATGCTTTAAATTAGTTTTGTCTTAACTATTTTATTCAATAAGAATCATGGAAGTTCATATTAATTAAAAACGAAATATATTTTATCAATTCTATTTAAGGCACATAGACAGTAACTAAATCAGAACCTGCGTACGGTTATCATTGGGTTCCATCTCCTATAATTCTTTTCACGATAACAGAAGCTGGAAGACAATAAACCACAATACTTTTATACTCTTGTAGTAGCCCTAACAAAAAAATATCCGAACCAGACCATTCATCCAAATGTTTTATTTCTGTGAAGTGGACTATTGTGTTGACCGAATCCCTTGTTATCGATCTCTTCATTCATCGTGTATGGGTGATCAGACACCTTGAGAACTTGGAGTTCGCCTCAATCAATTGGTTATTATTTTTTGGCCTAGTATGTAAATGTATTATCCCAATCAATTTATTTCTCATTCGATGGTAAAACATATCTCGAATATTTCTTTGAAGAAGACCTGCAAAGTCGGATCGAAACGTTGGCTTTTAATAAAATAGTTTTGCCACTATTTTGTCTCTTTATGACCGCCACACCGGACCATCTCCTTCCTTCATAATGTAACGGTCAACTATTAAATATTCAATATTCCTTTGTTTTATCTTTTTTCTGATATCAGCAGTCACATTGAACCAACAAGTAGTCCCAGTGCAGATCATCTGTACATTGGAATAATTATCATTTTGAAATTAAAATATAACCTAAATTTTTAAATCTATGTGACACTATTTCATCACAATGACTTGCTCTGCAACAATCTTGATTGTAGGAAGTTTGGCAGTTTTGATCGCGGCATCAGCTGTAGTTGTATGTGAAAAAATTACTGCAAGCTGGAAGGATAAAAAGAAAAGTAACTTTATAATCTTTTATCTTATATTCAATTTATATTTATCTCACAACTGATTATTAACTAGAGTATTTCTTCAAAAATTTTATCATACTCTTATGTGGCCTCATAGGCATATTTTGATACTTAATCAATCAATTTAACTGTTATTTGAAAAGAGTATAAATACATAACTGTTTAAGTAATAATCCATAATCCAAGTGAGGTGTAGCGTTAATACTCTTCCTAATCTTATACCAGAACCGCTTTTAAAACTGATTACTTAATTAATTGGCTAATTACTCTAATTAATTAGATCGCTGCTTACGTCTTACGCTCGCTCAAAAGGAATGAACAAATTCATAAACTCACTATTCAATTACCTTCGTCTACTTCATTCTCGGAATTTCATTAATAGTGTTATCATGAGATTTTGTTAACCCTTCATTTTTTACTTTCACTTACCTATATATGAAACATATATTAAAGGAAACTATTGCGATCTTGAAAATTTTCGAATCTCAGTTTTCAACGGAAATACATGTTTTGAGATCCTCTGAATCCAAATAACCAAGTCCCGCAAAATGGTCTCTGCGTGTGTATGTCTGTGTGGGTGTGTGTGAGTTAACGGTCTAGTTGAACAACTAAATGTCGTACTAAAGTGAAATTACATATTTAAAGGTTTTTATATGCAATTTTTTCGTCAAAATCGGGTAATCGGAAGTATCACTTTATATCATGGACTAAACACATTTTTATTATTTTCTCAAAAATGACTCTAAATATTTTGATTAAATTCATTAAATAAGTGTAAAATTAAGCATTTTTAAATAAAATGTATGTTATATTCTGATTGATGCTCTCTAACTGGGCTTAAATGGCGAATTTTCAAAATTAGCTTCCCCTAAAGTACCATTAATTTTTTTATTTGAAACAATTGATCATTTCACATTAATTTCTAATATAAAAAATAGTTAAATATGAAAGAATTTGATAATTAACTAAAGGAGAAATAAGAGATCGTAACAGATAATGGTTGTAATTGATGAACCAAAAGAGCACGATTAGAACAGGCTTCCACACGTAACATGAGCTTAATATAATACGAACTCCGACAATATTATGTAAATAAACATATGTGGTTTTCATAAATGCTATTGTTGGCATTATTTAAAATTTAATTGTATAGATTACAGCGATATAAATAGTTAAAATTAATAGCGAATTAATACTTAAAATTCGTATATATAAGGGTACATATACAAATACAAATACCCACAATGAAATATAAATAAATATAGCGTCTACAGTTTTTACTCTCACTTCCCCTGTGTCTGAAAATTACTTTTTCTGCTAAAAAGGGGGTGGTAAGTTAAATTTGTGTGATGCGCGCACCGCACCAGATGTTTTCTATGCCTGCAATATTATTTATAAGACCAAACTACTGGTGGCCAAACTAGGGGTGGGCTTCAGCTTGAAAGACCGTCCCTAGTTTTTCCTGTGAATGGCGGAACCTTACATTTAAGGCATAAGATTTAACTCGGTCTCTAGAGAGTTTGCCCACGGTTCATCATAATGTTGTGGGCGAGGTATGGTTGCAAAAACAATTTACTAATCATCATTAATGTATATTTTCAGATGATAAACAACAGAAGTCGGCGGAAAAGGAGGAAAAAAAAGAAGATAAAAAAGAAAGTAAAAAAGATAAATAGGATATCAAAAAAATAATACATACCGAATTTTCGTTATAACATACCCTGGGGATTTGGAGAAAATAATCAAGTGTATTTTAAAAGATAACGCATTTAACCAACTTACATAAATTTTTTATCAAATTTTGGATTACTTTTTATTTTATAATTTGGTCTTAGGGGTCTCGCAACTGTAAAGATGCAAATATTTACGATGATGGGAAAGAACTTCCATTCCATTCCTGTACTCTCATTCTTCCGCAAAATCAGGTATACTTAAGCCTCCAGTAACTGAATAAAGTATGTCAGGACCAGAAGCGTAGCAGCGGATTCAGAATTTCATTTGGGGGAGTTTCAGCCCGAAAGCTGTTTTTTTTTTTTTTTTTGTTTTTTTTTTTTTAAATGCAACAATAAATACTTTAGAAGAAAAAGAAAAAACAAACTATCTATACGAAATTGTGTTTCAGTGATTATTGAAGTCCTATTAAATGTAATTACACGAACAATAATACTTTTAGAAATACTCACAGACATGGTAATATTTTACCATTTTTGGGTGGGGAGAGAGGCTTCAGCACGAAATCCCTTCCGTACGTCCGCCTGTGATCTAGACTAGAAAGTAATTACTTTCTATTATTAGTCCGTTATACTTTTATATTATTGAGCCGTTTGGCATGACCTACACTCCCAAATTATCAAAATACAGAGGTTAAATACGCCAAACGAGGGAAGATTTTTGTAGACCACCTTTTTTCTCGATTTCGTGATCAAATTATCTTACAATCCAAGTTTTTCTTTTATAATCCGAGTTTTTCGTACCTAATTAAATAGACATAGTTTGCCGATCTCTTAATTGAAAAGGTCTCAATTCCAAGAGTTTTCGTAAATAAAATATTTGAAGGTTACGATGGGTTGAAGCTACTTAAGAAGTTTCAGGTGGATGTTAATAATTTGATACAAAGGGTTTTGTATCACGGATTATAAGGTCTATTTTGGGGGCTATTCACCCATCAACTGCACGAATGCATTCTTGACAAATGTATTAAATCTGTGGAAAAATCCCATCTGATACATCATAAATCCTGTAGACACTCATCGTATTAAAGAATGGGGTCAAAACTACAGGATTAAAATATGTATACCTAAAACCTCTGTTAATATTCCTCACAAACGACATTCTGTTTGGGAATATAATGGAAAGTTTTTCTTGAACTTCTTAGTCCCCAATACATACCCCTTTTTATCAAAATTATTAACATCCGTTTAGCACTTCGTGAATGGCTTCATCTTATTGTAACCAACACCATAATCATCACAGGCACTGCAATCCAGTACGGGTCTTCGCCGAATCAATACGTTGCGTCCATTCCTCTATGTCTTGTGCAGTAAGGGTTTGCCAAGATCTAATGTCCAGAAGCTTCTCTGCATCGGCTTCGACCTCATATGCTCATTTCAGTCGATATCATCCTCTATTTCTTCTGCCATCTACATATCCTAACTTGAACCTCCATACCCGAAGCTCTTGATTAGAGGGTCTTCATCCATCCTTGCGACGTTCCCAGCCCATCTTAGCTCGGAAATTGTGGTACAACTCTATATTCTGCCTTAGACTTTACTGATTATCAACTTTTACAGTGCCAAACATCCTTCTCAGGATTTTTCTCTCGAAAACTTGCAACCTAATGGCGTCTGTTCATGATAGTGACCATATGTCAGTAAAGGTCTAATGAGAGATTTGTACAGAGCGATCTTAGTCGATCTAGCCAGCAAATGTCTTCTTAAAATTTTAGCCAAGCCAAAATAACACCTGTTAGCTAAAGTAATTCTTCTATGTAATTCTTGACTAGGCATATTTTCTGCACAAACTAAGGACCCTAGATACAAGAAATTATTTACGTTTTCAAATATGTTTCCTTCAAATGTAACTGTAGGTGATAAACGTAACCTACAACCTTTTATTTAAGAAAATTTTGGGGCGTTTTCAATCTGGAAATCGGTAAACTTTTTCTATTTAATGAGGTACCACTAACGGATACAGGATTTAATTTGGAGGGGCTTCAGTTTATAAATACAGGGTATTTTTTTGTACATATTTAACGATTATTGCTTTGGAAGAAGAAGAAAGAAACTAACTACCTATATGAAATGTTGTTTAGGTCATTCTTGAAGTCTTATTAAATATAATTACACGGAAAATAATACTTTTAGAGATACTTTTTCGCATAAGGCATGGTTACATTTTACCATTTGGGGAGGGGGCTTCAGCCCGAAAGCCCCTCCCATCCCCGTAGATCCAGCAGATGTGAGGTACTAAAAACTCATTAACATTTCCACTTGTAAGATAATTTGACCACTTTTAAGTTGGTCTACAACAATATTGGGCAGTTTGGCGAGACCTTCACTCCCATCATGCCAAAATAACGAGGTTATATAGAGCAAACGGGGCCAATATTTTTGTAGGTCACCCTTTTTGTTGATTTTTGGATCAGATTATTTTACGATTTAAGTGGAAAGCAGATGAGTTTTTAGAACCTCTTAAATTAATTAATTTAAAGAGACAATACAACAGTTCTGAGAATTTTCGTAGAAAAAAGAATTGAAGATAAAAACCAGAAGATGAAGTCGTTCACGAAGGTTTAGACTTGATATTAATAAATTGATAAAAATGAGTCTGTACTATCTCCAAAAGCTTCTTTCATGGAATTCTCATGAAAGATAGAATGACAAGAAACTGCTCCTTGTTAAAAATGGCTCCCACATTTAATTGACAAATTCTAAAATTCTCTTCTTTCTAAAACTCCAAAATTCTAAATTATTATGTAAAATATATGATAATTATTAAAACTTCATTACATTGCCATTATAAAATGTATTAAAATATACCATCTTTCTACTACATCCAATTTTTGTAATGCTACAGTTATAACTCCTACTAAGAATCATTGATATTATTAATATATTAATAATAATGATGTTATTGCTATCAATATTATGTCAAATAAAAATTATCAATAAAACTCTTATATTCAAATTACAATGCCATACCAAGTAGTTCATAATCTATTTTCGATTAGCCTCAGTATCAAAAGAATAAGGCAACAAGACCTTCTTACTGACAATATTCATTTTAGGGATAAAACAACATCCAGTAAATACTTCCATGCTTATTTGGCATTGAATTTTGAGGTTCGACCAAACTCTTTAATACATTTCTGGTCCGAAATGCTAGATGTAAGACCTTTTATGTGCTTCTAATCATATTGCGAGTGACCTAATTTATAATAACCATATAACATTGTTATTTTCTAGCAATGTAATAAACAAGCAAAAAGGTGGTTAAGCTATTTATATATAGAAATCAATGAATAAATATTTACAAGAAACAAAATTTTAAAATATTGTTTATACTTAAATAGTTTAAAGCATATCAATTTACCAAAGCATCAATTTGAAGATATTTTTGTCTTCACATTTTTATGGGATTTTCCTTCTTGACCTTTCTGTATATTGATATGGTTTTTAGTTAATACAATGGAATCTGTCATATACTCATTGTGTGCGTAAAACAGAAAAACTAGTACATAAATTTGCTCATTTACATTTTATTCTATGATTATTTCACTTCCTTTTAGCACACTATTACATCATATTTTAGCAACCCCATTAATTTTTTTGTCTACACTTACGTCTATAGTCTTATACATTTCACTACTTTTTGTTGTTAATTCATTTTTCATTTCAATTATGTTTATTTCATCAGCCCTTACTTTGTTGCCGTTATTATTTATTTCTTGGTTCTCTGTTACTGTTATTATTCTACCTACTTTATTTTACTTTAATGTTCATTCTATCTACTTTATTTTACTTTAATGTTCATTCTACCTACTTTATTTTACTTTAAGTTTATTCTACCTACATTTTTCAGTCTATACCTTTCACCTTTTTATTTTTAATTCTTTATTATTCAATGTTTATAGTTTTCCTACCTATTGTTATCTGTTGTTTTCTTAGCTCTGATGAACGCCTGAACTTTGGGCCGGAACGTCAGCAAAAATAAAAATAAATATAATTTTTTTTCCATCAATCCACAATTAAAAAGACTAGTAGTTGAATCTAATCTGTGTTGAACTGTATGGACAGCCATTATGATATTTAGGTGGATATTGTCACATGAGATATATTTTAATTTTTTCATCGTTACACTGAGAAGACACAAATTCAATGTAACGCTGTTCATTTTATGAAAGAGTGGCTATAATGAAAATATATTCTTAAATATTTACTTGTTTATTTATCTGTGGCACCAGTGAAAACTGTTAAATGGAATTTTAATGAGTATCACTGGAAAATTAATTTTTCTCTCTTTCTTTGTGTCTGAGCTAAGTTATATAGTAATCACAGAGATGAACATATTTTTGTGAATCATGGGCTGAAACTGAAAAATTGAACTTGCAACTGTGAAAATTCCAAACTTGCAATTTGTGTTATTTCATAAATATGATTTTTTTTTTCACTTCACACGCTATGCAAAGGTGCTACAGATATAGGAATAATAAAAAAATAAAATTATTATTAATTACTTTATACAAATAAAACAAGTAAAAGAAAGCAATTACACATAGACATGTCATTAATCAATTTTCATATATTTATTTTATGAATATAAGATAATTTTAACTATCATAAAAAAACACTTAAGATATCATGAGGTAAATTGCTTAGACCTATAAGGTTCATAGACAGTAATTAATGAGTTTCATTTTTTTATTTGATATAGTCTGTACTAAATAAAAATGTAGTATGTATTGACTACATGTATGTAAATCTAAATGTAAAGTAAGTAATTTGCTTATTCAACATTATATTTTAATAATTGTTTGTGAATATTTGAATGAGTCACAATTTAATTAAATATAATCATCACCATTAGAATTTGAGTATTGTTTTAAAGTTTCAATTCTGTTTTTTTTAATTAACTGATTTATTTCATAATTCTAATACAGAATGCCTCTATAAAATTAAATCAGCAATTTTAAAATTATGATATTCTAAATTATTATAATTATTGTAAATTGGTAAACATATGTTTATATGTTATATATATATATTAAACATTTTACAATAAATTTACTTTTAGTAGCAGAAGAGAAAACCTTGGTTTACATTTTATACCTACTTTATCTTATCACCTTTTAACAGAACTTGTTTCTTATTAATGTAAAAATAGATTTTGGTGAAGACAAAAAAAAAGGGGGAAAGTTATAAAAAAAATCATAATATATTTTACAAAAATATTAGTGAATATAGTTTAAATGGAAAAAGTGATCGCATTTCCAAAGCGTACCATTAAATAACATAAAAACAAAACAAAAAACATTAAAAGTTTAAGAATTTATTAAAATAGTCTTTCAACAACCCAGTGCAATATTTAATTTGAAACCTACAGCTTTACACTCATTCTGAAGTATAGAACTAAATATAATAATTTTATATTATTTGAAACAAATTTACAGTCAAATGTTAATAAGACGAATGCTTTTTTAATTAAAACTAATCTGAATTCTCAATTCGGATGAGTAAACAATTAATTTATTAATAAATAAAGATTACCAAGGTTAAATATGTCTTCCATGCTCTTCTACTTAAATACTTTATTTGATAAAAATCAAGTAACTACAGCAATGAACTGACATTTCTATGATTAGATGTGTTGCATAATTTAACAAGTTATTTAAAGACAACTCTAACTTAAGAGAGTATTTACTAAGACAACACCTTAACCTTGCCTTATGTTTTTTGTCTGTAATTCTAGGTACTTGAAAAATATAAAAAACAAAAACCGAAATAATAATTTATGATTTTAAAAAATACCAATAGACCAAAAAATGTTTTATAAATCAAAACATTTTTAACAAAAATAAATAGAACTCATTCATGCAAATTAATTGAGAAATAAAATATTGAACATCTGTTATAGAACACCAAAGTTTATATCTGATAAAGGACAAATTAGGGCATAACTCGTAATTTACTAACAAATGTCATTTATTTATTTACACATTAAAAAAAAAAAGAAAAGAAGTAAATTTTGTATAGAAATTTATAAACTTAAGAACCATAAGCCACTTGTTATGAATGGAAGACAATAGTGTGTCAAAGTCTTAATATCTGGTTCTTTATATAATTATTTCTTCAATGGTAACATTATTATTTAATACAAATTAAATACAAAAATATAAAACTATCATAAACATATAAATCTATCCAGTCTAATAAATATCACATTAGTGCATTCAAATTAGGCTTTAATAGATGAAACAACTTTTTTTGCAGCTTCGTCTAAGTCTTCTGCAAATGTAATAGGAAGTTTAGATTCAACAAGCAGCTTCCTTGCAGCATCTACGTTTGTACCTTCAAGTCTGACTACTAAAGGAACATTCAATTCAAGAGACTTTGTGGCATTAATTATACCTGAAGCAATAGTTGCGCAGTTTACAATGCCACCAAATACATTTACTAGAATAGACTTGACATTCGGATCTAGGGTTAAAATTTGGAAGGCAGCAAGTACCTGATTTTCATTGACGCCACCACCAACGTCTAAGAAGTTGGCCGGTTCTCCTCCGTGTAGTTTAATGATATCCATCGTTGCCATGGCAAGACCTGCTCCGTTTACTAAACATCCTATGTCTCCGTCTAACCTAATATAATTCAAATTATGCTGGGCAGCTTTCAATTCCTGTTGGTCAGTTTCACTGTGATCATCCATAAGAAATATAGCCTTCTGCCTGAAACTGGCATTATCATCAAAATTGATCTTAGCATCTACTGAAACGACTTCGCCTTGATCAGTTTCGGCAAGAGGATTAATTTCAACTTGAGTTGCATCTACATTAACAAATAAATCATACAGTCGTTTAATCTCATGGGCAGCTTTAGCTTTCTGTTCACCTTTAAAGCCCAAGAATGCAGCCACATCTTCAGCAACATTTGGAGTAATTCCTACTACTATATCTATAGGGTAAGTCTTAATTTTATCAGGAGTATCCTTCGCAACAGCTTCAATATCCATTCCACCAGCTGGTGAAGCAATAATAACAGGTCCATCGAACCCCCTATCCATAACAATACTAAAATAAGTTTCCCTTATAATATTAACAGACTCCGCAACCATTACTTTATTGACTAGTATACCGTCTTTTGGAGTTTGTTTCGTAATCAATTTATGTCCAATCATGTTTTTAACAATCGGAAGGACTTGATCTGCATCTTTAGTCAAATGTACACCTTTCTTAAATCCATTATCGAAGTGTCCTTTTCCTCTTCCACCAGCTAAAACCTGAGCTTTTATAACATACTCATCTACTTTGAATTTTGAATCCAAATCATTAGCTTGTTCTAAATTTTCTATAATCACAAATTTCTGTACGTTAACACCATAATTCTGCAACAAAACTTTACTCTGGCATTCCAGCAGATTCAGATTCCTGACCTGATTGTAACAGGTCTGAGTTAAATTATTTTTATATAAGGTATAGAGCCTTCCTGCGGAACGAAAAGTACTCACCATCTTGTAATAAATGATACACGAATGAAAATAAAACAGTAAACTAGTAAATTCGATCTATAAAGAACAATTTTTTAAACAAGTTTCCCTGGACGAAGGTCGAAAAACTGATAGCCGATACACTGAACGACTGAAATGATAACTAGAAAAAACTTCCAATGTACCTCACATCACACTTATCACCAAAGATACTAAGATAGCAAGATTGAATTAACCTGACCCTCTCCTTTCAAGGCACTTTACTTACTACTAACAGTGATGCCATTATTTACATTCTAAAAATTCAATTTTTCTTTTTTTAATATACAATAATACGTATGTTCTTAATTTGGTTTCCATCAATCCAAGAAAATATTTAATTATTTCATTTCTTTCCAAACAAGTGATAGATTTACGGCAATACATTGAACTAAATTTTACGACACACTGTTCTCTGCAAATTGTTTTAAAATTGAAAAGTAGAAAAAAAGACGATCAAATTAATTAAAAATGTTTTTAATTAATAATAAAATGCATTTTATTCGGTAAATGTTTGTAGTTTATTCAAGTTAAATATTAATACACATTGAAGTAGCCTCACTGCACCCTCTTCTCCCCCCCCCCCATCATCTAGTCAAGAATAATTTATTATTGAGATACATTTATATTTCTGAAAATAATCTCTCAAATAGAACAGGAATTTGATCTGACTCAATAATTAACCACAAAAAATTTCAAATTGCTAACAATGTCATTTACGATGTATCAACCATGTATACGTGCAACTACTAAGCAAAGGAAGTTCCTGAAATCAGCGCTGAGGTCATAGATGGCCTCGGTAATCCATTAAACCGTCCCTAAACTCATCGATGGAATTTAGTACGTTCCTTTTTCTTCTCAGTTGAATCACCATCGGTTCAGCGATTCTATCGGCTTTTGGCTTCAACGGATCCGCTGTATGTGACCTCATTTTAACTTCAGTATTGTTATTTCTCAATTTATTTTACTGATTTATAGTCTGTTAACTTTATATTAATATTTAATTATGTTATGAAATTATTCACTGTCAAATAGTTATTGCTTTATATATTTTTAAGCATTTTCATGTGTTTCGTGACCTTACAGAAATGTTAACCTCTGAAATCCATAAGGTTCGATCCACGCCTGATGAAAAAAAAACTTGGCATCAGCCGGACCTTGAGTCCGATTGGATCGAACCTGGGACCTTGAGCCTGGCAGCCCAGTGCCTAACTCACTAAGCTACTCTGCTCCATTTTTTGTTATAAATATCTTTTAAAATATAACAGATTAAATTAAAAATAAAATAAAAACCCGTATCACTAGGATGCACGGAGGGTCTTGGATTCAGTACTTTGTAAGGAAATAGTAATACCACTGTTGTACAAGTAGGTGATTTGACAGAGATAACGATCAACTATCATGTTTTCCTCTTGGTGGTGGGATGGCCGAGCGGGCCAGTGTTGTTTAAAACATTTGTTGCCTGGCAACCTGAAAAACCGAAGATTACAACTTCGAATCCCGTTGCCAGTGGGACTTTTAACTTTGGCATTAATCCCTCGCCATAATGCCAACAAGGGAAAAAAAAAACGTATAGCCTATTAGTTAAGGAAGGGGAGAAAAAAAAAAGATTTTCCTCTAGATAATTTACATAATTAAGAGAACCGACATTACTGAAAGTCTACCAAGCCCAGTGTCGATTCAAAGATGATGTAACATAATAGTAATTACCCCCATGGCACAATAGTTGGACCCAGAGCATAGGAACACATTTCCTTACTTCCCTATATTAGCTTATTGTGGTTAATATTTACTTTTTTTTCAAAATAATATATTATTATTCTGAAATAAAATATTTAATTAATTTCATGGTTTTAACAAAATAAACATCTTTCTTTTTGTCTTTCTGTACTTTTTGAATATTTGGATCATCATTTATTCTTATTTTTTTGTTAATAATGCAAATCCAAATCCATCGAATCGAAGGATATCTTTATTAAATGTCCTTAAAATTAAGGTAAAATCAGCTATGACATCAGAAATAAAAATACTGAAAATTAAGTATTATAAACTTTGTTTTTTATGTGTGACAAATTTTAGACATAGACTATTTTTATTTTTTATTCTTTTATTTTTCCGTCGCTTATCCAGTGTTTGTTTTATTTTAATTTTTCTGAAGCATATCCAGAGAAATAGTAATGAATTTTCTTTCCACACGCTGGGCATTTTTCATTGTTGCTGTCTAAGATCGCGGCGCACTTTTTACATACGCACAAATGAGCTACTTTTTCGTGTACGAGAACAACTTCCAATGGCCTAATTTGGCAAACCATGCAGACGTTGTCACAATCAGTACTTGACGCGGTAGTATCTTCGTAAGCTTTTTCCAATATCTTTCTCACGTATGCTCGTCTCTTAAGACGCTGTCTTCTTCTTTCTGTTGGTAAAAAAACAAAAAAGTATATGGTCAGGTATGATTCATAAACGATTCAACTAACGTTACTTAATGAATTGTGCCGATTAATCGCTATTTTCCCATTTAGTTTCCTCAAATATAATTGTTTTTAAATGGTATGGAAATAGTTGACCATAATTCTAATTTGAGAAGTTGGTCGGTGGATGCCGTCAACTGACATATATTATATATTTTAGCAGCGTTTATTTTAATTACTTTCGATCTAAGTTGTAGGTCGAAGCTCGGAAAATGATTGTTCCAATTGTTTTTTATTTCACTAGCTTGCATAACACTTCTTAGGTAAACTATATTTACTATTGGTGAGAAATATTAAGGGTTGGAAATCAATTGCAGCAAAAGGAAGGTATTACAAGTAGGAAGGCAGATTGGAGATATATATGTACACTGCAATGGAGAGGAATCGGAAATGGCCACGTACCTCACCTACCCAAGAACAGACAAAGATAGATCTGGATAGGTGGTCTCAAAAATATACAACAGAATAAGCAAAGCAAATGCTGTTGTAGAAAAGTGAGACGTATAGCCAAGGACGTCAAGCTCCATGTATTTAAACCTGTGTACTTGCCAATACTTTTTTAATGCCAATACGGGGCTAAAAGCTGGATATTGACGGACAGGCGGGAGAGCAGTCACTGGTGATGAAATGGAATTTCTGCAAAGAATAACCGGAAAGACTAGGAGAGGCCATGTTCGCAATGAGAGGATACAGCAGGATCTTGATGTCTCTAGAGAACAGAGAAGCAATAAGTAGCAAAAAAAAAAAATGTAGACAAAAAGCAAACCCATAGGATAAGATACCACCAACAACTGTTGTCTATATATTTCAATACAGAAAACCCTTTCAAATCAATGTCTATAAGTTAAGATAATTAATTTTGTAGGTCATCTGCCGATAAGAGTTATTGGGAGTTGAGAATAGAACCACATGATTGTTAAAATCGAATGAAAAAAAGGTAAAGTAGTAGTGAGGATCTCTGAGGGATTCTTCGGCTAAGAAAACTAGAGGAACACTTTGGATAAGAGAGATAAGAGCCTAGAGGTTAGGTTAGGAATAATTGTTTAGGTACAAGGGGACAACAAAAGGCAATACCAATTTAAAACCAGGAGGGATTTAGTCTTAGGAAATAAGGTGCCACTGTACAAAGTTCACTCCTCATGAACCAATGAGCCAAGATCACATGATCATTCTATAGATGGTATTCTATAGTGGGCGGGGTAGCCGAATGGGCTAACGTGTGTGCACAGCACCATCGTTGCCCGGCAACCTGATATATCAATCTAATGATATAAAAATAGTCACGAGTTCGCGTCCCGGTGCGGACGGAGTCTATTAAATCCCCGCCCACACTCCCTGGCTCGGGAAAACCCCGTATAGCCTTAACGGCGAGGAAGAGGAGGATTCTATAGGATATTCTATTGGATGGGATTGTTTAAAGTATAACCTCCCTTTATGCTGCCGTAAAAGTATAAAGAAACCCTTAACAGCTCCTTTCCAGTTAAAGTCGGGGTCTGACCAGACAGTTCGGTTACTTTCAACCATTCTTGGGATTCCAATAATGGTGTGATCATTAGATCTTGTGCTACCCTTCAATATGGAGTGCCATTTGTACAGCAGTGCCGATTACAGTATTATTGTAACATATTTGCACTGAATAAACATTTCACACATTAACTAATTTTCTATTACACCATTCACTTGAACCTACAATACCTTCGAAGAATTCCCGTTGAGTAAACTCTTCCGACGAGGAACGATCTTCCTTCACGTTTTTTGCTGCCCTTATCCGGCGCAAGTTGGAATATTTCGAAAGAGGTGGTTGGGGAAAGATATGCTCTTCATCGCTCGAAACCAAAGGATATTCACGTTTTCGTAACTTTCTCGTTGGTCTTGAAGGCATCCACTGTTCCCTCGTCTGAAAAATTATTGATGTCCAATTAGTGAAAACATTTAAGTCGATAAATTATAAATTATTTATAAATATAACTTTATTTTTTTTAGTTACAGATAGTTGATCAATCGACCATCGACCCAATTAAGTTGTATCGATATTCATTGGAGTAGCCAGGGGTGACCATCCCTCCCCCAAGGTCGATGGCGCAAGAACCTATCTGCCCCCCTCCTTTGAAGATATTTTATTGCTCACTTTGTCATAAAAATAGAAGAAGTTAAGTTAGAGATGGAAAAATCGTAGATCATATACAATTACACTAGCTGCGGTCTGTTCTATGTTTCCCCTTTGTCCCTTAGTCCGAAAATTCATGACTATCAAAATTTGCTTCCCTCCCTCAAAAATTCAACAACCCGTCAAAATATATTCTCCTCAAAAATTTTGATAGCGCAATTTGCGCAACGAAACCCCCTTATGTGCACCTTTGAGAGTAGCTAACCAATTTTTGTGTGGTGGAGCAGCCGCTCTATCCTCGAGTAGAGCCTGAAATGTATGCCCTTGTAATCTTAGTGTTGATTAATGAGATCATATTAGTGCATGGAATTTTATAAAAAAAATTAATTGACAAGTTAAAAGTTAAAATTAATCATTTAGATAGGCTGAATCAACAAAGATGCTGCTGAGCTATATACAGATAACTGGAAAGAAATAGCTTAAGATAGGCAAAGATGGAGGCCAGAAAACATCGACAAGGTTCAGGGGTGCCCATCTCTCCTATCAATGGCGCATGAACCTCCTCTTCTCTCCTCAAATGATATTTTATTGCTCTAATCTCCTTAAAAACAGTTAGAGCTTAAGTATCATTTAAAAAATCATAGTTTATATTCAATTATACTGTTATTGGTCAGTTCTATGCTTTCCTCTATTCCTCTGGTTTAAAACTTTATATTCCAAAAATACATAACCCTGTTAAATGTGGTCCTCTCAAAAATTCAAAACTCCATCAAAATGTACTTCCTCAAAAATTTTGATGGCGCAACTTGCGCTATGAACCCTAACCCCCCCCCCTTCTGGACGCCCGCCCCACAGTGGTGGGAAAAGGCGTAACCCCGGGGAAACTTTCAATTTAGGAAAGATGTTTGAAAAACGAAATTTATAATAGTATGTCGGTCCTTCGGAATTAATGTAGACTAAAACCATTTCGGTAAGACCGACCGTTACTATTATTTTTCAATAATAAATAAAACATATTTTGCATGTAATATGTTGTAATAGTTTCGTCTTATCGTAACCTATAGCTATTTTATCTATGAAAAGTTTTGGAATTGGGGCGTTTTCAATCTGGAGGGGGGCAAACTTTGTCTATTTAATTAGGTATTAAAAAACTCTTAAATACACATTTGCTTTCTACTTGGATCGTAAGATAATTTGATCACAAAATCGAGGGAAAAGATGTGGCCTTCAAAAATATTGAGCCGTTAGGCGTGACCTACACCCCCAAATTTTCAAAATAACGAGGTTATATAGAACAATCGGCCCAATATTTTTGTAGGCCACCTTTTCTATCTATTTTGTGATCAAATTATCTTACAATCCAAGTAGAAAGCAAATGTGTATTTACGAGTTTTTAGTACCTAATTAAATAGACAAAGGTTGTCCTCCTCCAGATTGAAAACACCCCAATTCCAAGAGTTTTCGTAAATAAAATAGTTGTAGGTTACGATGAGATGAAACTATTTACGAAGTTTCAGACGGATGTTAATAATTCGATAAAAAGTGTACCACGGACTAAAACGAAAAGTCTTTCGACAAATGCTGAAATTTAGAATTTTACAAGCATGTTTTCCATTTTTAGGCCTCCCTTAACTGAGGGAGTAATGGTCTAACTTTCCACTGGGACATCTTCACTTTACTGGTACGTTGTTCTAACCATTTTGCTATACCGCCCACTAGATTCAGGTATTAACTTATACTAAATAAAATATATTTACGATTTACTCGGCTCAATCATTTTACATAAAATATTACTTACCACGTAAAGTCACAACGTAAAAAGTGCAGGTATACAATTAAATACTGAAAAGTTTTAACTTAATATAACCAAATTTAAAAAAAAAAAATCAAAAATTAAAACATATATCTGCGTCATATGGTCTACAACTTAATGCCTAAACTTGTTAAGTGTTATATTATACAAACATTTAATTCTTATTTTAAAATATAGTGACCTGAATGAAACTCATAGTATCAATGAAATTAAAAAAAGGTTATGATACAAAAGATTACAGATTTTTCTTTGTAACTCGTAATTGAGAACACTCAAACATAGACAATACCCTGATTGTTTGGTGGATGATGCAAAAATCTTTAAGAAGGTGGTTCATAAAATATTTATTTGGCAAGTAATATGTAGGCTAACTAACATAATGCCCATTTGCAAAAATCTAGCATAATAATTTTGTAACCATTGAAAAACCTTCCCAACAGGTGATATAATTGGATTTATCAATCTATGTATGCTAGAAGTAAAGCGGACCCTACACGGTCAATCGGAATTGCACTAATGACGTTCCGAATTGTCGTGTAAGGTAGTGAATGAAGTACTGATGGTGGTGCGCTGCGGATTTCCGAACATCCGGAAATCAAAGGTTCATTCACGAGAAGTGGAGGGGAGACCATCCATACTGCTGGATAGGTTAGGTTACCTAGGCCTCACAACCATTATAAATTTCTGATTTTCATTATATGTAAATAGTTAAATAATTTTTCATATCCCTTGTTTATAATTTTAAACCATCTTCAACTATTTCTTTTAAATAGTCAAGTGGGCAACAAATTAAAAAAAAAATGAGGAAACTTCACAATTTACTTTAGGAAAAAAAAAAACTTTAACGTTGTGTATATTTATCAGTTCTTTTCCTATTTTCCTCAACAAATGTATTATTTTCGCAATACCTTTCCTTAATTTTTGTAAGTAGTAGACTTATATTTTACTAACTTTTGTCAAAACGATTTTCTATGAGATTAACCTTCTATGAGACTACTACTAGATAGGTTAGTTTACCTAGGTCTCGTTATTAAGTAAATAATTTCATAAAAGTAAATAGTTGTTTATATCCCAAGTCTATATTATTATTAACCATTTTCAACTATTTTTTCTTTAAATAGTCAAGTAGGCAATGAATTGAAGAGAAAAAAAAGTGGAAACTTCACAATTTACTTATAGAAAAAAATCTTTAACTGTTGTGTTTATTTGTCATTAATTTTCCATTTTTCTTAACAAATTGATTATTTTCGCAATACTTTTCCTAGATTTTTGTATGTAGTTGACTTATATTTTTTTAACTTTGTTCTAAACGATTTTCAGGCACTAGAAAGTAATTATTATATCTCCGTTTTTCTCTTGATGCCCAATATTATGAATGACAATGACCAAATAAGCATATCTATGCTGTTTCATTGTTTGCAACTGAGCTAAATTGGTATCAGCAACGATCTAACCTAAATCAGCAACGATAAGTAATGATCAGTAATGATTGAACGTATAAGGGTCTTCATGATCAAAGTGATAGCAGTCAATCTTGGAACTTCTTGTGACGTTCATTCATGAATTACCGTGTAGGGTCTGCTTAATACGACAGTATAGTTCCGATTCCCGGTACTCAGGAGTGATGGATTTTAACAAGTGAGGTGGAAAAAGAAAGGAAATTTGTTAGAAAAGTGACGAAACCCAACCTAGATATTAAATTCGTACTAAATCTTTAATAAAATGGTTTAAATGCCATTGAAAGAATTAGATCTTAAAACTTTGACGTTATTCAATTGCCAGACGTGAAAAATTGTATTTTGAAGATTTCGGAGCGGATCTATATATTTTTTCTAAAAGGTTTTTTTTTGTCGGTACGCCATAACTTCGTCAATTATTCATCAAATTCAATGATTGACTACTGATTTTGAAGATATTCTTCCCCTTTAACATGCGAAAAATAGTCCTATCCTCCCGAAATTTCTGGAAAAAAAGATATGAAGGAAAGAAACTTTATTCGCGAATAAATTAAAAAGTATGCATTTATTTCTGGATTGAGCCAGTGATAGTTAGAAAGATTACTAAATTACCTACAAAACAAAACAAAAAAAATTGGACAATTATTAAAAAAGATACAGTCCATTAGTTTTGGTATCTATATAAATAAAATAAAGATTTTGTCTGTACATTGAATAGAATCAATCCGTTTCATACATTGCAGACACCAAATCTACTTTTAAAAAATTTTTTGTCTGTCTGTATGTCCGCATTGCAACGAAATTTTGTCAGGGGTAAGCTCAGCAATGGCTTATTGTAGATTTTTGAAATTTTGACATTATATTGAAGTTTACTTGACTTGAGTAATTTGTCAAGAGATCTCGGTTAATGTTGATAATAAATGTTAATAATAAACATATGTTTATAAAAGAACATCGATATAAATAAAATAAAGGTTTCACTTTTTTTCTTACATTGAATTGAATCAACCGGTTTCATATCTTTTCGTTTCATACATTACAGACACCAAATCTAATTTTAAAACATTTTTTTGTCTGTCTGTATATCTGCATTGCTACGAAATTTTGTCAGGGATAAGTTCAGCAATGGCTTATTGTGGACTTTTGAAATTTCTACATTATATTAAGGTTTACTTGCCTTAAAACATAGGTTTTAAATGAAAACAAAATATTAAAAAGAACCAGAGTTATGAATACTTGAGTAATTTGTCAAGAGATCTCGGTTAATGTTGATAATAAATGTTAATAACAAACATATGTTTATAGGTTAAAGAACATCGATATAAATAAAATAAAGGTTTTGTCTGTACGTTGAATAGAATCAACCCGTTTCATATCTTTTCGTTTTATACATCACAGACACCAAATCCACTTAAAAAAATATTTTGTCTATCTGGATGTCCGCATTATCCAACGAAATTTTGACATGGGTAAACTCGGCAATGGCTAATGGTAGACTTTTGAAATTTTTACATTATTTT